TCTATCTCTTACTGTTACATCCCTGGGCAACGCCGGGCTCTACTGCTAGTATTCTAATAAAATTTTCTGTCTTCAGCTATCTTGTGGTGTAGAAACACTCATACTGATATACCATCTGTGTCTAAGTTTCAGATGTAATAAGTTTCAATGTGGTGAAAGTCCAAGCAGCTGTCATGCTATGGAATGGCACATGCACTCCTTTTATTAAGTCAGAGAGGTGGGATTATGGTCATTTTAGAAAATTGCAGTGCATGTTGGTCATGACATATTGGTGGTTCTTTGTTGTTGACAACAGTAGTCAACTAAACAACTAGACTTATAAATCAGGTTCTGCATAGCCATTATTTTTTTTTATTTTTTTTTTTATTTTACTCATTTCACTCCAAGCAAAGCAGGAATGCCACTAGTATGCAGGGGCTTACATAGTGAAAGTAAGAGAATAGACTTGGTATAGTGGGGACCAAGGAAAGGATGAAAGCTGAATGACATTTAAGAAGATAGAAGGTGGTGATTGGCATTGCATTTAAATTTTTGAAGATTGTAATTATTAGGGAGGCAAGTATACAGAAGGGAGTTCCACAGACGGGAAGTGCAAGAAAAGAAACTTTGAGTAGAAGTGGTGGTTACATTTACCTAATTCAGCAGTAAAAGGGTGGGACCTAGATGCCACTACTAGCACACTTAAACCCATGCAGTTTGGCCACCAAGGAAAAAAAGCTTGTCAGAGCAGTAGCCATTAAAATATTTGTAAAAAAGACAGCGGAAAGCCATGTCATGTCACTGAGAATGTGACTGAAGTTGAGATGCCAAGTCAGGATGGATTATATTGCAGATCCTTCTTTAGATTTTGTCAAGAACCTTTAATGCATTAGTAAATGTGCAAGATGAATTCTGACAAGAAAAACAGTCTGGCATGACACAGTGACTTAACTTTCCTTGCAATAGATGCAGGTATTGATTCAATGTAGTCATTCCACTTCATGTCAGTTGAAAATGTAAGGCCAAAAAGGCGCTTTGTATTGATCTCCATGAGTCTAGCAACAGCCATGCTGATGGTAGGCATGAAAGTTTCTCTATGGTGGTTAAATGAGAGCAATGTTTAGTTTTAGAGGCATTAAAATTTACAAGTCATTTCCTGCTCCAGTTAATTTCTGATTGGAGGTCCTTTTCAAGAGCAGCAGCCAAGTTAACTTTGTCAACTCTGGATTTGTGATTTAGATGGGAGTAAATTGTAGTGCCATCAGCATAAATGCCTACTTGGGAACTGATGACATTAGGAAGATCATTGATAAAAATCAGAAACAGCATAGGACCCAGAATAAAGCCTTAGGAGACACCTGCATTCATGTGAAAGGATCTGGAAGCGAGCCCATTCAAAATGACCTTCCTTTCACGATTTGATAGGAATGATTGTTTTAAATCAAACAATTGTCCAGTAATACTGTAGTCCTGGAGCTTATGTAGAAGACCAGTGTGCTAAACCCTGTCAAATACCATTCAGATATCTAGAGACACAGCTCAAGCTTCACTATTATTATCCAGAGTTTGATATACAAATTCAGTGATGGCCATTAGCACATCAGTTGTAGACCTAACAAAACGGAAGCCATATTGTTTGTCAGAGAGTAGGTCGTGAGAGGTAAGATGCTTAACAACTTCGGCATTTATTAAATCCTCAAAAACTTTGCAGAAAAGTGGTAGGAGACTAATAGGGCAATAGTTATAGGGGTCAAAAGGTTCTCCATAGTTCTTAAAAAGAGGAACTACACAGGAGGACTTCCAATAAGCAGCAAGGCAATAGTTGTAGAGTTTGGAGAGAACTGGAGCCAGATCATGAGCACATTTCTTTAGGATAACCGCTGGGATCCCATCACCTCTGAGAGCTGTGCATATCACTTAGTAGAACCTCTGTTCTAGGAGGGAAATCAGGTGTGGGTAATCCAATTGAGTTGAGTGTTGAGTTAGAATAGAATTTATGAGCAAAGCATTCAATCTTACCTGCTTTAGATGCCAGGACTTTGAATTGATTGAATAGAGGAGGGATTGAGGATTTGCTGTTGTTCAGCACTCTCTTGCAGAGCTGCCAATAATCTCTAGAACCAAACTTGTGAGATGCTATACATTGTTTCATTCTATTAGCAAACAGTAACTTCACTTCTTTGAGGACACACTTGCACTTGTTACAAGCAGAGACAAAGATCTGTTTCAGTCAAATGTGTTGCTCTGGTACAGCCTGAAGAATTGATACCTGTGGGATATAGTGGGAGATGAATGCAATTTCCTTGCTGGAATGAAAGCCTCAATGCCAGCTTCATTCAGGAGGAGACCTCAGATGCGCATTTATGAAAAGGATGATTAAAAACTGCATTACAAGGGTCGTTATGAAGGAAGTCATGGAACAAGTCCCAATCCACACATTGATAGCAGAAAGATATTCTGTTGGTAGGAGATTCTTGGCTTGTAGGGGAGTGGAAAGAGATGTTTACAGACACTACCACATGATCAGAGTTACCAAGAGGGCAGAGTTGCAAAATATGAGATGAATCCAGGATAGAGGTAAAAAAAAAAAGATCTGGAAGAGAAGTGTGTCCATCAGAGTTACTGGGGAAATGCATGGGGAAGTCCACCACTTGTGTGAGTGATTGAGAAGTTAAGGGTCTGGATTCCAGTGGGGTCAGTGACAGTGTTTAAGCCACCTGACATAGTGGGCATTAAAGTCACGAAACACAAATATGTTAAGATTGATGTATTGTTAGGGCAGTGGTAGACTAACATTCAACATCTACAGTATAGATCAAAGTAAATGTGGTCCTAGGAGTGTCACCATATGAGGGTTGGCTAAAAATTTCATAGGTTGACCAAGATACTCTCATGGAATGTGACCAAATGATGTTTATTTTCCCTTGCAGTCCATACTCTTTCATCAATGTTGCAGTGCTTTGGTTCCATTGGTGAAGAAGCTTTCACCATATTGGTCAAAAAAGACATCAACAGCAGGTATGACATCATCATCATCATCATCATCATCACTGTGATACTGGTTCCCAGCCAAATGTTTTTTCATGTTTGGGTACAGATGATAATTGGATAAGGGGAATAGGGAGAGTGATCAACCAGTTTAAAGCCAGTCATGCACAACAGGCATTGAAACTAAGGACTTGTGTGCTGGAGCATTGTACTGGTGAAACAAAACCCATTTTTTCAATTTTCCTGGGCATTTGATAAACTTTCATAACTGCTTCAGTAAGTTGGCATAGTACTCTCGATTGATGGTGTAGCCTTTTTGAAGATAATAAACACAATACTTTTTACATCCAAAAAAACTGAGACCATCACCTTCACAACAGTCATCCTTGGTTAAGAAACATTCAAGAGGACTATCTGGATCTGTCAGATTTTCCCCGTGATGTGATCAGCCTGATGTGCTTTTGATCTAGTGTCAGAAGACTGGGTACCCACAGCAGAAACTTTCGTCATATCAAGTTCATTCTGCAGAATATTCTCAACTCTTCATGGGATATACTAATATCATTTGTCTATCAATTCCCTGTCTTCCATAAACATGTGGTGAACATAATGTTTTCCTCAGTGCAAGAGACCTTGGATCAACTTCAAGACTTTCCTTTCCCCTCCTAAATTCATCTGTTCACTTTTGCACTGATGATAAAGCTGGAGTATCATCCCTTAAAGTAGCAACCATGTCAGCATGAATGTCTTTAGTATCACTCCATCATAGTCAGACTATGAACTTTTCAGCCCATCCTTGTAGTATGTATCATCATTTACTGTTTCTAGCCAGACTCAGACTTGTACCACAACTTTCTTTTAAGGTTCACCTGGGGAATTGAATGGTGCTAAATAATGTTCAGTGATGAGAGCAAGTTCTGCTCTTGTACAAGTGATGGCAGTTTGCATGTATGATGTAACTTGATGAGTGACATCTTTCAGGAAATATTCACCCATGATATACAAGCCCAACCTGAGATGCCATAAATTTGCCGTTGCTGTTTGTGGAGGAAATATTGAACAATGTCCTATTCATTCAGAATATTGTTCAACCTGTTCCACTGATAATAAAGTATGAAATCTTAAAATATTTTTAAAGCAACCAAGTTAGATTATAATTCCTAACATCCCAATCATTGACATGCTTTTGTTCATTATTGTAATACACTTTGTTTGGAACACACTTAATATCAAAGTTGATGCTTCACACTTAGTAAGAAAGTCGGCTAATTGCCTCTTGGTTTCATTTCACTGAAACTTTCTAATTTATCTATTGTTAATTAACACTTTAATTCTACTTATTTCATCTGCAATCATTTCTTCATGACAAATTTGGATGACTTCACTGCCATAAAAAAAGTATTACAGTCAGTGGCATGAACTATGGGCAGTAGTCAAGGATTGCTTTCACTTGTTGTAATTTCCAAAAAGTGAAAACTGCTATATCAACTGCTTCAGGCATGGTGATTGTTTCTTCAGCCAGAATAATGCAGACATGTCTTATTTTCTTGGAGTAACATCAAAGTAGAGAGAACTTTCCCAATTCTCCAAGAAGAATCATGTAACCTTACTGACTACAACCATTTGGAAGTTTTCCCCAAAGCAGCATCACTAAATATCATAAAATACATTTTACACTTTTTATTCAGATAATAAATAAAAATTTTGATGGTTTTGCTCAGAACAATAACTTTAACAGTCATTAAATCCGTCCCATAATTATTGATTGATTGATTCATTTTCTATTGCTCATCAACCCTTTTTCAAAGCCAGAAAATATTTTTATATTGCAAGAATTATTGTTTTGAGATAATAATGGTTTATTGATACAAATGTTACTAATTAATCTATAGCTGGGGGGAAAAGAGGTAGTGTCATACAAATTTTCAAGTGTATTTGCAAATGTGAATATAACATACTCAACAGGAATTGGCACTCAGCTCTCCAATGTTCAATTCTGAGCCGTTATCCATTACACCACCTGCACATCCAAGCTTACAGCACCTGGTATTCCCAGGCAATCACCCATCTACATACTGACCATGCTCGATATTGCTTAACCTCAGTGATCATATAGGAACCGGTGTTTCAACATGATGTGATGGTAAGCCACTTAATAATTAAATGATAAATCCGGATGGCTCATGTGTGTTAACAATTATGGTTGTTCCACTTTAAATCTCGGGGATGGTTTTTTTTCTCTTTCCAAGTCTTTTTGCACAGCTTTTATGGAATCTGCATGAATTGGTGATATATTGTATATCATTTATCTTGAGATAAATATATTTGAATCACTACAGGTAAGGTCAATTTTACAATACTTTAAAACTTTACTGTTTTCTTTTCTCACTTTGAAAACTATACATATGTTACGGATTTTTATCAAATTTTTCGCTTCTTGATCAAATGAAATCATCAGCATGACAAGCTAATCTCCTTCAGGGGAATCAGTTGTGTTAAACCAGTAGAAAATCCATTGTAAGATCCATTTGTAGTATGACATTTTCAATCATGACTGATTTGACTTTTGTACCAGTGAAAGGAAGCATTACTTAATCCATAGACACATTTGTTGAGTTGTCATGTCAAATTACTAAAGAATTTAATAGAAATTTCTCTATCTATAATTTGTCTTTGCAGAAATGTAGTTTTGATGTCCACAGAATGTAATTTCAATTGACATTGAGATGAAACTGTCATTATCAATTAGAAAGATTGATGAACACAAGTTTGTGAATGTTTTTGAATATCATTGAGTTCCTCAAATTCCTCTTGCTATTAATCTCACTTTTTGGCATGATTCCATCACGTGTAGACATGCTTAAAAGCTATAGAGAGATACATGATTCTGACCAGGTTGTTTTAGTTTGCCAAAAACAATTGTTTCCAACTCATCAAGTTATTTTAACCTCTTCAAAGTGAACCTCATTTGACATTATGTCCATCTGTAGATTCATAGATTGATTCAGTTGTATTAAGATCACCAACTTGACATAGATCCATAGACATTTTGTTTTTTGCCTTTCAGATTTCTTGAATTAATTACCAATTTTTGTTTCTGACATTTGCTTTGCCAGCTTGACAAATAATCCTTGCATGAATGTGATCAAAAGTTTCACTCTGATTGTAACCAATAATATAACCTTGTTCTATAGTAATGTTAAAATTTCTAATTGGGTCATTATCCACATGCTTTTAATAACAATATTCACAATTGTTTAGTTCATCAACACTATTTAAATATCTAATTAATTTGATCAAATACCTTTGGCTCTGTAGTGAAAGAGATAATCAGGTACCCCGAAAAAAAGTTTGTATTTTGTGTGCGATATGCTGAGGAAAAATTACCAAAAAGTAGTCAGCAAAAATCTACATCAATGACTAGAAGCTATGCTAATGTTCTTCCCTACCCTGAATGACGTGACCAATCAGAAAATTCTCTCAGTGAACAGAAGTCGTTGTTTTTTGCGCATAAAAAAGATGATTTTTTTTTTTTTCTAAAATGAGACGAACACGCGTTGTTGTTGGCGAGACGTGAAGGTTGGATTTGTGACCCCATTTTGTCGTCTCTACGGTGTGTGTTGGACTATCGTGTGAACTGCGATTTGGCTACAAGTGTTGCGGCCGAGAAACAAGAAATCTATTGGTGTTGCTATGATCAGTTGATAGTCTTTTCTTTACCCCAACAGGCTCCATCACCTTTTTTTTTTTTTCATTGGATTGGTCAATTATCTGGTGTAGAACATAATTGTTTATATAGAGCTTCTTTGATTTTATGTGTTTATTCAGATTTACAGACAACTGTCATGTATTTAGTGCATTGATATGAATCTCCACAACTTGTGGTACCCTCTAGAGTTGGTGTGTGGTCATTAAGCACTGATGGAATGTTAGGATTCCTTCCAAAGACCAGTTGTTATGGATGACATCCACGGATATTCTGTAACAAGTTATGGACCAACTCAGCACTGTTTTGCAGTATAAATTGTGATCACACTTCACTTTCAATGTTTCTATCACTTTATAATAAACCATTTCTCCAAGGAGAATAATCAGCAGTAGTGATTTTAGATCTGTTCAAATTTTCTGCCATTTTTTGTACATTGGCATTATTTAGACTCATAACTGAGATTGTTAAACACCCATTGTGCTCAATTTGGATGACTGCTTTGTATTGATTAGACAACCTGCACTAAATCTTGTGAATTCATCAATGATGTGTAAATGTCACAAATTTGTCTCCAATTGCAGTCTGATCTTAATCATTGGCTAAAGGAAATCCAGTAGCTGCTTTTAATGGCAATTTTCTCTTTGGCTTTTACTTGTGTTACCATTAACTATAATGTTGTCTAGCTTGTTGAATATATCTAAACTGTCAGTAGTTGCAGATTTCAACAAGCTATTTCCAGAGGAAAGTCTTATGTATCTGTGTAATTAAGATCTTCATCTTTTTTAGTTAATTTTGTTAACGATGAACTCTTCTGGTTTAGAATTGTCGATGGTATTAATATAGTAATGGTCAATATATAAACTTTAATTCCACTTGCTTCCCAAACAATTCATGCTTTTTTCTTTTTTTGGCTTTTTTTTTTTTTTTCTCTCTTTTTTCTTTTCTCTCTTTTTTTCTTTTCTCTTTTTCTTTCTTTTTCTTTTTCTTTTTTCTCTTTTCTTTTTTTCTCTTTTCTTTTTCTCTTTTCTTTTCTTTTTTCTTTTTTCTTTTCTCTCTTTTTTTTTTCTTTTCTCTTTTTCTTTTTTCTTTTTCTTTTTTCTTTTTCTTTTCTCTTTTCTCTTTTTTCTCTTTTTTCTCTTTTCTCTTTTCTTTCTCTTTTCTTTTCTCTTTTCTCTCTCTTCTCTTTTCTCTCTCTTCTCTCCTTTTTCTCTCTCTTCTCTCCTTTTTCTCTCCTTTTTCTCTTTTCTCTTTTTTCACTTTTCTTTTTCTCTCCTTTTCTCTTTTTCTCTTTTTCTTTTCTCTTTTCTTCTTTTCTTTTTTCTTTTTTTTGTTCTTTTCTCTTTTTTTCTTTTGTTCTTTTCTCTTTTTTTCTTTTGTTCTTTTCTCTTTTTTTCTTTTGTCCTTTTCTCTTTTGTTCTTTTTTCTCTTTTGTTCCTTCTTTTCTCTTTTGTTCCTTCTTTTCTTTTCTTCTTTTTTTTCTTTTCTTCTTTTTTTTCTTTTCTTCTTTTTTTTTCTTTTCTTCTTTTTTTTTCTTTTCTTCTTTTTTTTTCTTTTCTTCTTTTTTTTTCTTTTCTTTTTTTTTTTCTTCTTTTTTCTTTTTCTTCTTTTTTTTCTTTTCTTCTTTTTCTTTTCTTCTTTTTTTTTTCTTTTTTTTTTTTTCTTCTTTTTTTTCTTTTTTTTTTTTTTTTTTCTTCTTTTTTTTCTTTTCTTCTTTTTTTTCTTTTCTTCTTTTTTTTTCTTTTCTTTTTTTCTTTTCTTTTCTTTTTTTCTTTTCTTTTCTTTTTTTCTTTTCTTCTTTTTTTTCTTTTCTTCTTTATACTTAAATGTCATTGTATATTGGCAGTCACCTTTCTCATCTATTTCCTATTTTTACTAATAGTTACTCTTTTGAAAAGGTTCACAATTTTACCATAACCAAATCAAAACATTTTTTGTTTTATTTACATCATTATTTACACTTTGCCTGTAGTGATCTGGCAATTTTTTTACCACACACTGTACTCTACAACAAATACTTTCTCAAAAATTCTATTTTGAATGAAAACCGTGATGTTATACTCTTCAACAGATTTTATCATAAAAAGATTTATGGCTTTCTATCATTTTCACAGAATTAGTTCTATATAGACATTCACTCCACTAATGAAGTACACTTTAACATACCTTACATTTAGTGGGTTTCCCATATTTATTCAGAGGATTTGTTTGTCACTTTTAATTTTGTTTTAGGAAGTTTTCTGTTTTCTTTGATTTTCATGATGTCTTCTTTAACAGTAATTGAATCCATTGTTGCTTTTTTTTTTGTTTTTACAAGTTCTGCTAATTTCACTAAATATTGTTTTTCAGGTTGAATTCATATTGTACTGCACATCTGTAGTAACATATGCAGAGGGCTAACTGACGTTGATTTATATTTAAATTGTCTCATAATTTGAAGACTGCATCATTTTTACATTTGGTGTTTTTAATTTATCTTTGATGAAATTTCACAATTCAATAAAAACATGATCTCTGAAAAACCATCAAAATCTTTTGTATACCTCATAAATACTATCAGTCAATTCTTTCATCAATAAATCATCAAGTGCAGGTTTTTTCACCTATCATCCAGTTCACACTCCTCTCTGGTCTTTTGAACAGGTGTAGAGGTTTATCTCTTGTTTCTAGTTTCTTCTAACATCTACTTCAATGCTATACTTCTAACGCTTTCATCTGAACTCTGAAATTTTACTTACTAATTTTTTTTCTCCTCAGTAGGAGTATGTTTGTTTTGTTTTACAGTTTATCAACCCCTAATGGGTAATTTAAAGCCAAGTTGGGTTTGCCTATCATCTGGTTCACACTCCTCCTCGGTCTTTTATGCAGGAGTAGTGGTTTATTCCTTGTTTCCTGGCTAAGATTGGGTTTCTGGTTCCTTCTAAAGTCTTTTCATTCTCTCACTCCTAGTAGCTCCTTGTGTCTTAGTGGCATTATCTCCTTGCTTGGGAGTGAATTGATTAAAAAAAAAAAATTAAAGTATCCATTCCATTCTCCTGATTTATATCCTCCATGTTTAAAGCAATTTCTCTGGTTTTACCATTAAATGATAGTTACTGCCAGTGCCTTATTTTTCTCATCTAGGTCTGTTATGAACTGTCAAATTTGGGGTTCATTCATTCATTTTTTTTTTTTTTTTTTTTTTTGTTTGTTGTGTGTGGGGGGATCATGCCCTCTCCTTTTCAAATTTTAGTGGATTTTTGTAGACTAAGGCCATCTTGACTTTATTAGCTCTGCTACCAATGTTTTCTTCACTGACATAAATTCCCTGGGCATGTCCAAAAGACTGACAGGCAGGAACAAGACTAATTTATATATTCTCCAGAGGATGATTCCATTCCCAGAGAAGTGAGGTAGAAAGGTTCTATAATGCAATTTTATTTTCCTTCAGTGTAGTTTTGATAGCACTGCTGTCTGATATCTACATCTTTCTTTCCCCTATTAGCCCTCTCTCACTCTCTGTTCGCTCATTTACTTTCTTTTCTGTATTTTACTCAAGAAAAATTGTTCTGTATAATACATTATTTCATCTTTTCCTTATAAGAACTTGTTCATAACAAACATACACACAGACATTACTCAGGTGCTTTTAATAAGAATATATATATATAGGCACATTATGTAAGAAGTCTTATAGCCAAGGGATTTTCTGAACTTGGGTTGAAAGCTTAATTTTTAGTCTAATTTGTTGTTGACTTCTATGAACACACCCAGGTTTTTAGCAGACAAACTTTTCATTACAATCTCTGGGTCAGTGATATTCTTTCCTTTTGTCACAGAAAGGTGGATTGGTTTTCAGACCTCTAAATGAGTGTCAGCCAATAAATGTTGTTTTTTGTTTTTTTTTGTTTTTTTTTACAGCAATTGGATATTTCTCATTCAAGGTCTACATTAACGTTGTAATTAAATGCCGGGCATTCTATTTGTTGCCAGTATTGTTTAAAAATGTACTTGTTACTCCTGTGAATCTTGCTAGTTCACCAACTCAGCAATTCTAATTTTTAGTATTTTTGGTGAGAGCTAAAAGAAAAATGATTTTTCTTTTTCTCTCTCTCTCTCTCTCTCGACTCCATTTTTATTGTGACTCTGGGGAAATGAAAAGCTTAAAGATAAACATATAGTCAAAATGTGTGTTGAGATATGCCAAATGTGTCTTGCTTTTGGAATTCAAGAACAACTTTCACAAGTGGCTAATTAATTTGTTGAATTGAACCAATCAAGGCATAAGGCTATATTAGTAGAGCATCCATTGGAGAGCAGAGATTTTCTTAATAGCTTGCAACATGTTAAACCTTGTGCTATAGTGCCAAAATCAACTAAATACTTTACTTTTTGTCTTTTTCATACAAACTCTATTGTGACAATACTCTTGGGGGTTCCTAAAACTGTCATGGGCATCTTTACAAATAATGGAATACCATTTTTATTTTAACACAGGAAAAAGTATTTAGTTTTAAATAGCTTTTCCATTTATAAAATCAACAATACAGTAGGACTTTCTTATCAGCAGTAGATATATTCTCGGTGAATATTGAAATCTGTAACTAATAGTGGACCATATATATTGTTTATTTCGAAAGAATTTTACTATGCTATAAGCTGATTTGAGGACAGATGTGATGTAACTTTCCCTTTATAAAAAATATATTTAGAAGTAAACTATTTATAAAAATGACATGAATTGGAAAAACATTTCAATAGTCAATGAAACTTTTTGTTGAGCTTTTTCTCAAACTACAATGGCTTTGGAGAATTTTTTTTTAAATTTTCAAAATATTATTACTATTAAACATGTATTTTGTTTGCATTTTACTCTTTTGAAATCTATTTTGCAAAGTTGATCTCATTTAATAAAAATGTTGAACATAAAAGTTTTGCTGATTGAAACAGCTACAAAAAATGGAATCACAGTTGGCACTGCCACAGGTCCTACTGTAGTTTTCTTCTACTGTTCTTTGAAGAAATTGCTATTAGTGATTCTATTTAACCCTTTGGCATTCAACTCACCCAAACCAATCTCATAAATATCAGCTCTCAATGTTCAACCTGCCATAACCTACCTAATGTATACTCTGCCATAATATATGATGACATCAGTCCAAATAACACAGGAAGTCATGCAAAGAGCGAAACTTTGACCACAGACTGAGAGTTTAAGAGCTGATATTTACAGGTGCGATTGATTGAATGTTAAAGGGTTAAATATGCAGGGAATTATTCTTTTCTCAGGTTTCAATGGAAATGGAAGAATTCTCTTACTGAACAACAATAAGTAAAAATGATTGAATTAATAAAAAAAAAAAAAAATACTATTTAGTTTTATGCTAAAAATAAGCAATTGATTTTTTTCTTCTTTCTACTGAGTGTGTGTTGGTATTTTGACATTTACTGTAATGGTTAATTAGAATCTCCTCAGTTTTAATCTCCAAACTCATCTCATAGCTGGAGTTACTATTGAGTAAAGTAATACACACACATGCACACAGTGTACAAAAAAAAACAAAAAAAAAACGTTATGATCCTACATATTTCTTCCTAATGTAAATTTTGTTCTAAACATGTTGAAATTTTAGTTTTAAACAATATTGTTACCATCAGGCACTTGCAGGTTGAGCTCAGTAATTATAACTGTGGATATGTAGCTCAAAAATTTAAGCTTTTAGTTCTTATTCAATCCTACATAATAAGGATGATTTTTTATTTTTTTTATTTTTATTTTTTTTTTAGAGAGGATTGGGATTAATCTCGTACAAAGTAAGGTAGGCCCTACCTGACAAAGGACTTGTTATAATGGTTTGAGGCAAGGTTTTACAAGGCTGGATGTTCTACCTGATGCCCAATTCAGACACAGTAGTCCAAGTGTTTTTATTGAGACACCATTTGCCATTCAAAGTTTGAAACCCCATCCTAGCCATATTGGTTGTTGACTTATATAAGAAGCTCATCTGCCCTTTGATAGATCTTGTTTTTCATCCTCTGGAGGGACATACCATCCTCTTCACCAGCAGAAAAGCTAGTGGGGGAGCTGGTTTAGATGCCAATCACCTGTCCATGTGGCAGGTTGTACTGCATTACATGTTACCAATAACAGGCCTAAGCCTGACCTGACATAAACCCAAAGGGTAATTTATTTTCTAAGGAATCTGAGTTTCATAATCCCCTTTTTAACTTTAATACAAAGAATTAACTTTATGAAAAATCCAAAAATGAAATATATTTAATGCAGGAGAAAATATCTTAATTTTCATCGAAAATTAATTTGGAAATCTGTCTATATTTCTGAAATGAGGTATTATGTACACTATTTACATTATTCAGACACATGGCACAGTGGATAAAGGCGTTGGTTAGATCCAGTGACAGGACCCAAATAGTTCAATACCTGGTTGAGGCAGTGGAGAACTTGGAGAGGGGAATTAACAGGAGATAACTGATAACTGACATCCATTAAAAACATGGCACATGGCACGTGGAACTAGAAAAGTCTACCCCAGTGAGCGAAATAAAGGGTTCAGTTCAACATTCCAACCACCTGAAGAAGGCCAGAGTGTACAATGGCTGAAACGTTGTTACAGGTTTGGTAAATCTTGAGATAAAGTGTGCGTTATGCTAACCTTCATGCCTAGAAAATCAGCATTGGGTCATCCAAAGGAAATATATAACTATTTTAGCTGGATGATTGACCACCTACTGTTTCTACATTTGACTACAACAATAATTGCACATATTCTATTTTGCAAACAGAAATTCTTTTCAAGGAGAAATGCAAATATAAGGTGACCTCCTCCCAAAATAGATACATTTTTTACCAATATTTTGAATTATGTCTGCAAGAAAGCAATTGGAAGCTCAAGGTGAGAATAACTTGACAGATACTACAAATTGTCTTTACACACACATACATTTGAAAATAACTCCTATCTTTTAGACTTTAAAAAGTTTGGCTGTTAATAACTTCTATATGTCTAAGAATTTTATTTATGCTTTTGCATTTCTTTCTATTCTTTTCTAAGCTCATTTTTTACTTAAAGAAAAGATTGATTTCTGTTTTTTTTTTTTTTTTTTTTTTTTTTTTTGGAGGACATTCCATAAACTGTATTTCTAACCATATAATACTCAATAATAATTTGACAAGGAAAATAACGAATAATATTCAACTGATAATTTAATCAAATTTATATAAATTTTTATATAATGACGTTTTGGTTTGTAATCATAAGTTAATCATTTATAATCATATATACTTCATTTTGGGGTCATTAAGAAACTAGTGAGTCAAACAATGGTGTTAGTCTAATCTCCAAACCTAACCATTGAGCTAAAAGATGCAGAGGGATTTTTTTAAATAGTTTATTTTTTTTTTATTTTCTAAAGTGCAGCTTATATGGTGTGTAATCACTTCCACTGCCTATATATTCCTTTGGTATAGAGGGTATTCCACAACAAAAACTACTTTGAAACTCTACTTTGTGGATGTTTCCCCAAATGTTACAGTCTTAACCTCTTCAAGTTTAGGGTCAATCATTATCTATCCAATGTACCCTCATAATCTTCACTTGCTACTTCCTCATCTTATGTTCATCACACACACCTCATTCATTAACCCTCTGCCTTCTGTGGCTCTTGGGCCTTGTATGAAGGTGAACTATAATAAAAAAAACTAAAAGAAAAAAATTACTTGATCAGCTCCTTGGTCAAGCATTTAACTACAGGCAATTTTAGTGATACCTTATTTTCTCAGAACAACAAATTTCTTAAAGAATCTTTACAGTTTAGTTGTATCATTTATAGTATGTTGACCAGCTCATTCTCTGGCTTTTTTTCAAGTGACATTTTGGTCATGCTTATTGACTTATAATCTGGTTAAAGTGAATTATAGTATTGTAAGCTTATTAGTAAAATTAATTAAACAAAGGTGCAAAACAATAATAAGCTTATATGTACTCTCCAGGAATTCAGTTAATGTGTATATAAGTAGAAATACATGTTTTATTAAATCCCACAGAAAAATGTGTTGTGTTTTTTTTTTTTTTTTTTTTAACCTAACCACTTCCTACTTCTGTAGAAGTGAAGTTAAGTAGTTAATTAAGAATTATCCACAAACTTTCTTTATCAAGCACTTTTGGCTATTCTCTTAGACATTATCAAAATTAAGTACATTAATGTTTGGGGATAAAAGATGATGTTGTATTTTAAAATCTAATTTCTAAAACAGCTAATAGCCATATCACGTTGAAACATTGGGAGAGAAGAGGTGGACTCGTACCTTTCCCAAGGGTATTTGCATGTAAGTGAATATAACAAACCCAATTGGAACTCAGCTCTGATTACCAATTCTGAGTCATTATCTATTATAACATGTGCACATCCAACCTTACAGCACCTAGTATTCCCAAGTGGTCACCCATCTAGGTATTTACCAGGCTCAATGTTGCTTAACTTCAGTGATTGTACAAGAACCAATGTTTCAACGTGATATGGCCATTAACTGTTTTAGAAATTAGATTTTAAAATACAACATCATCATTTATCCCCAAACATTAATGTACTTAATTTCTGGGATGGGGATTTATCATTATTTACACTATTTATACATGGACTATGTTGTTATCACATTTCAGTCATTGTGCCCTTTGACCTTCATCAGATCTATATTGATATGGGTAATTGGAATTCCGTAGGTTAAATAAATGATTCAATTTGTAATTCCCTGTAGTTTACTGGGCTCTATAAACCTGATGAAGGCTGGTGGGTATAATGGCTGAAATGTTGTGATAACAACACAGATGAGGACAATAGTCCGTATATAGTATAAATAATAAAATTCTGTAAATATTGCATTTTAACCAATCTGTTGGTATTTGTTGTGGCCTGTTTAGGGGCCAGAAAGAAAGACACGGAAGACAAAGGTAGGTTGAAACAGTATATTGAAGATATATACAAAACAATAGTGTTAGTAATAAGTAGATTAGCACTGCGTCTACTACTCCATTTCACTTCACACTCTACACCTATCTGACTCTCGCAGTTTGTATTTATGAGAGGAGGAAGAGTTCATTATACTGTAGGAGGGTTTACCACAACAGTATTATAACTAGGGATCTTTCTATTGAATCTAGAAATGTACAGCTATGAAGCTAGTATGAATTGCAGTAAGTGGCAGTATTCCATATACCCTTGTAAATCATGAGTGTAAAAATTTGCTGTTATTTTCCCAATGTGTACTTTTATATTCAATTCTTTTCTTGAGGAAGTTCACTTGGGCAGGATATATTTATAGTAAGTTTCTGGTTAAAGGTTGAATGAATAAATCCGGATTTAGAAAAAAATTTTAATCCAACAGAAAATTGTGACCTAAAAACAAAAATTCCTTCAGGAGAATCTATCAAGTGTCCTATTCTCAATTTAGGGTTAATAATTCTCAGAAGTTGACCTGTTATTTCTGTAACAAGTTGAGCAAAATGTCAATTAATTTGCCAAGTGGACACCAAGAACAGGAAAGGAATCTTACACAAGAAAAAGTGAAATGAAGAAAGAATGCTTGCAAATTGACATATTAAATGAATATAAGTAGGCAAAAAATGTCTATGGCAAGGAAGTGAATGACAGCAAAATACTATGACACAGAAAATCTCCCAGCATTTAATACAAGTTTTCTTTCTGAATTCATGCAACAAGATATTACTATTATACATTGATTAATTTAGTCCAGTTTCTTATCTTTTGTTTTTTTGGTTTTTTTTGTTTTTTTTAATATCACAACTTGTTGAACCTGGGAAAATTTTGCAGGTGTTGGCAGCTAAGATAATCAATTCTCTCACGTTTTTGCTCTTCTTTCAGCAGTTGCCCGTATCTTCTTGTTCTCTCCCTTATCCATTCCAATTCATATTTTTATTGAAATTTTATATAACATGGATTAGTTTCACATGAAGAAGGAGTGATATATTTCATAGATTTAAATTTTCCTTGGGAAAAATTAAATAATATTGAAAAAAATCTTGAACTTTCATTTATCTTCAACTAAACCTGCATAAATGAAAGATTGTTGCCCAGATATATACAAGAGAATGACACACACACACTAATGGAAAATATAATTGTAACACCATGAATATGCATTTTAATTTATTTCATACAGATACAATAGAGCTAAATTACAGTAAGTAATCATATACACAGATGAATATGTGCACAAAATAAGGAGTGTACATTGTATATCCTCTTGCATCTGTTGATATAATAAAAGAGTATTAGGTGGGCTAAGTGAATGAGTCTAGTGTTGTCTCGTGTCCCAAAGGAGAACAGGTTTGGCTGTTGTGCAGACCAGGGAAGATGTTGAACATTTTTTTTAGAACAAGTTAGGTAGTATCATGTGGGCATGCATTATTCTGTTGCAATAATGCCAGGAGAATGGGTTGGATGTCCCTGTTCTAGATATACATAGCATTGTTCAGAATTTTTTTCTGTAAATACCAAAGGTAGGTAAGGATTGTAACTTATGGCACTCTACATTATGATGCCAGAAGTTTGGGTTGAATCTTGTGATGAATACAATCTGAAAAGTTGTCACTCCCCAAATTGTCTGGTTTATCAAGTGGCATAACAGCAAAAACAAATTGAATTGGCAAGCCCATTTTGAATTACATGTAACACTGATATACAGAAATGCATGAATCTACATCAACTTTGCATTGTTCTATATTGCCAAAAGTTCTAATTGTTGAATTTTTTTTTTCTTTTTACATGTAAACAATTTTTCACACTATCACTTTTCATAAATATTTCTGCTTTTAAATAATAGACAATGAAATTAATTTTTTTACAAGTTTGGACTGTTTTTTCATCAGAACTGTATAGAGCTACCTTGAGTTAGAGATATTGATGGAATTATTTATTTCTTTATTAATCAAATCAAGATTTTTTTTTCTTTTTAAGAAAGCAATATAATTTGTAAGGAATATATTAATAAAAAAGTATAAAGTGTATTAAGTCTGTAAGCAAAAGTCATTTTGCTTACTAATTTTAGAAATTTAAAGTGGTTTTAAAAAATGTAGTCCGTTCTTCACTTTATGTTGTATCTATTCTTTCAGAAATCTATTTAGTTTTTATAGAAATAAATTCATTTGTAATTTTCATAATTAAAAATCCCCTCCCCAATATAATTTTTTTTCTAAAATGTAGAGAACCTCAGATAAACTTGGCAGTCATAATGCACAAATTTCTCAATGTCTGCTTTGGTCTAATGATCTTGAGAATTCTAGCTGCCTAAAGTAATTCAGTTTCCTTGCAAACAGATTCATTTTAAATGATCTTACCATCAGCTGCATCTTGATAGATGTAAGCACCAAAAATGAAAGCGTTGGTTTAAATAGGAAAAGGAAACTGAAAATAATCTCTAATCTTTCCTGTTTTATTGAACATAGGTTCATAACAATTGGCTTCTATACAGGTAGTTTCACCCAACACTGCAAATTGCTATAAAGCCATAAACATTAACCTGGATTGTTTTTAGATATCCTCGCCAAATTGAGAGATTCCTATGCATGGTGCCAAACCTGTTAGAAATATCTAAACTGCTGCATACAACCATTTTTTTCAGATCAATGGTTGAAAATGGCTTTGTGCAAGTAAAGCCTATGGGTCTTGGTGAAGACCCACCTTCTTTAAACCTTGTGGACTGGTGCTATAGAATCACAAACAAAGAACTGTATCAAATAACAGAACCCAAATCACTTAAGGACATTCAACAACTAAAATGGATTGCACATGTAACTTGAAGAGAAAATAATGTCATAATCAAGATTTTGATATTCCCTACTACTTCAAACAAAAGGAAAGGAAACTGCCATCAATACTGGAAAGAACAATAACAGCTACTGGACTTAAGAAACCTATTTTTCTGAAAAATTGCTTTAAGGAAAATATTTTATAAAATTTAACTGACAGTAGTACTAGCTGCTCAGTCAATTAATGCCAATGTTTCCTTGGAAATGGTTAATATTACCATTAGTTGAAGAATATTAGATTTAATCTATTAAGTCTGTTTAATTCTGTTAATTAATATATTAATTAATATATGTCTTTCTTTAGATATTAAGTATTTCTTCAATTTGTAAATTTTGATCTAAAGAGTTATTGCTGACTTAGATATGGATGGCATTTTGAGTTAACTTTAGCTTTTATCGACATTTTCAATTTACATTTAAACATGGTAATATGCAATGATCTCTGTTAAATATTAATACTGTAGAAAACAATTTACAGTTTAATTTGACTGACAAAATTACAAAAAAAATGGTAAATTTACATTTTTATATTCATGAGGTGAATAGTACAAGCTGTATCATCACATTTGTTCTGAGAACTCATTCTTTGCATTACCAAAATGTTTCAGCTATTCTGTTCTTCTAAGACAAGGCATAGCATATTGGCAAACTAAAAAGATTTTAGAGCTGCATGTCTTGAGAGCAAAAATGTATGTTAGAAACTTTATTCCTTGATTTGGAATGTATTTGTTTGCTTATATTGAGAATAACAAAAATAGTGAAATATCTTCAAACTGCATTTGTTAATTTTGGATATGGATAATCTTACTCTATAATTAAACACACACAGGCATGAGGTAAACATGTGAGGCCTACACCAAAAAAATTGAAGCATACATACTAATTCTAGAAAAGGAACACATAATGTCTACACAACTAATGAAAACAAAACATAGACTTTAAAAATTGAAACAACTGTATTATTCCACTTACCCCAAAATTTCTAATGCAGCTAAATAAATAAATTTATAAAGGTTTTCCTAATTGTTTCTTATGAATTGACGACTATATAATAATCAAAATTTATTTGTATATTTTTCCTGTAATGTCTAACTTTTTGCTGTGTGATAGTTATCTCCCTTACTGTAGAGACATTATTTGTTATCTGGGAGGTAAAAAGACTGATTCCATGAAAGAGAAAAGTATAATAATATTAACTGCAAAAATTATATTTAAAGATTCACAATATTTTGTAATAATAATAATATTAAGGACTTAAGATAATATTTTGTCATTTTTAAATTTGTATCTGATATTTTTTTTTTCCTTTTTGATTAAAAAAGGAAAAAAAAAATCAGATTTCACCTGAAGCAAGGGAACAATGTCACTAAGCCACAAGGGGCTACTGGGAGTGAAAGAGAATGAGAAAACTTTAGGAGAAGGAACTGGAAACAAGAGATAAACCTTTATTCCTGATCAAAAAACAGGAGGCGTGTGAACCGGGCAATCTAGATAGGATTTTTATTTCTATTACTTTTTTGGTTTGATAGTTAAACTTCAACAACCAATTTTTAGTCATTATTTCTAGAGCTATTTTTAATATTTTATCATACATTTTAATAACTGATATATTTTTTTCTTTTTTGTTTTGCAGGAAAACTTGAAAAAAAATCTGTAAACATCATCTGTTGAAGTTGCACAATGCTAAACCTCAGTCACCAAATTGTTCAATTGTGGAATTCAAATGAGCAATTTCTATTCTTTGATGAATTTGTACATGGCATGTGGCAAAAAAAAATAATTTGCAATGAGAAATTGCTCTTTCCAGAAACCAGGCTAAGGTGCTGTCATATTTTAATGGCATGATGGAAAGGATGCATGAATAAGAAAAAAAAAACTGGAAAAAAAAAAAAAAATGTCATGGCAGACTGGACTCGACCAACTCCAGGATAAGCCTCACCCTGGGTTTGAAGTTTCAAAATATTTATACATATATATGCATATATACTCACCCAACCATATATACACTCACCTGCATACACACACACACTCACCTGCAGACGTTTTTCTCCTTCAGAAACATATACCTGTAAAAGTTGATGGTTACAAAAAGGGTTAAATAGTTTAACAGGTTACGATTTTTTATTGTCTTGAAGACAGGTTTTTTCTCATACGATTTTTTCCTCATTTAAAAAATTGTTTATATTTTTAAATAATTTTTAATCACCACCTACTTACTTTCCTTTTGAAACGTTTTTTTCTTTTAAATGAATTTTTAGAGAAAGGTTCTCTCAACCATTCAATTGCTTTTAAAAGAAAACTGAAAGTTTCTTAAATTTTTAAATTTCTTTTAAAAAAAAAAAACAACATATCAAATTTTTAAATACCGGTCATTTTCAGCATCTGCTAAAATTATTTTTCTTGATTATAAATTTTTCAGAAATTTAAAAAAAAAAAAAAGTAGTAAATAGGAAAATGTTTGTTAGTATTTATAATTTTGTATATATGAGTGTATTTATGTAACTTGCAAAAATTTTAAAGTATAAAACTAAGTTAGATTCCATAATCATAATTTTAAACATGTTATGAAAATAACTGTTAAATCCAGTTTCATTTTTAATCTGTTGGAGGCTGAATTTCAAGTTTTTCATATGGTTACCAGAAATCTTAGGAATTTCAATATTTCTAATTCTTCAGTATTAAAATATTTTTATAAACATTTTTAAGTTCATTTCCCAAAAGTGGAAGAAAGAATTTTCTATTTAAATGCTTTGTTTTTTTTTTTAAATTCTTGCCAATAAGTTACTAAAATATTTAGGTTTTTACATTTATTTTTTTTAATTAAAAAAAATAGTCTAGTTTTTTTTTGTTTTTTTTTGTTTTTTAATTAAAAAAAAAAGTCCTAAATTTTTCTTTTTTTTTTTTTTTTTTTTTTTTTTTATAAATTTAAATTACAAAAGCAAGAATAAAAAATTTAGCTCAAGTGATTCATTCTATTAAAATATATAATACTAAAAATCTTTTTAGAGTGAATTTGTAAAGAATTCCAAATAGTATAGGATAATAAATTTAAAATTTTTAGAAATATTAATTCATAGTTACTTTATGTATTTTAAATGTAAAAGAAACCCCAAATTTTCAGTTTAATTAGAATATTAAGAGTACAGAATTTCTTAGTTATTTCATTTGCATTTCATGTTACTGTATATAGGAGGATATTTGTCCTCAATTCTCTTTTTATTGATTGCATCTGTTATTTCATCTTTTCTCTTAAAGAAACAAAAGTATAAACTTTTATCAATTCTACATTTTTTTAAGAATGCAATATTTTTTAAAAATAGCAACTTTTCCATAACTTCATTTTTTTAAATTTATTTTAATGCTTAAAATCAACTTTTATTCTCTTCTATTCATGCACATATAAAAAAAACAAAAAAAACATTGGGATTGTAATTTCTTTGCAATGAACTATAGAAACTCTTATGTAGAGCAGACACTAAAATCTGCAGAATCAGAAATGCTTTTCACTATTATTTATGTTTCTTACTGGTTTTCTACCCACAATGCACTTTGACAATCCCTCTGCACATATCATGATCCAATAATAATATGTGGATATTGGAAATTGTAAGACAAAGGGCTCTCTTAGCCCGGATTACATATACCCACCTTTCCCGTTTAATTATCTTTCTACTTTTTGTACTTGTTTTTGTTCCCCTGCTCTCACACCATTATCTCTCAAAAATTGGCGATGAGAGCAGTTCTGGAACCCGAACTAACTCCAAACCTGACCCTTTTGCCGGGGATATTGAAAAAACTGAAAAGATTGATCTCTACATGCATGTTGAAGAGCTGAAAAAAATTCGTGCCTCTGTCAACAATGAATTGCGTTCGCTTGAGAGCAAACGTCTGCGTCTTCGGACCGAACTGTCTGGCTACAACACTAACATCCATCGTTTGAAAAATGAACATGAAAAACTGCAGAAGGATCTGGAACGCCTAAAAATCACAATTGAGACAGTCAAGATGGAAAAGGAGGAAATGATGCAGCATAACATGCCTGTGCTTTCAGCCCCCAAACAAATACTCCCTAACATTTCAGATGAGGTATACATCCCTCCCCCTAAATATCCCATCACATGCCAAATGCACAATTGCTTTGATTATTCCCGCTGTTCTCTTACCTCAGGTTTCCCTGTATACATTTACAACCCCCAAAAATACCTGATTGGAAAACACACAAATATTGATCTGCTCATGTCTCTAAAACAATCAAAGCTGATCAAAGACTATGCAACTCCTGACCCCAGTGCTGCATGCGTGTATCTTGTATTCATTGGGGAGCTTCGGGGAGTAAGGGCAAGATCTTTGCAAATGTTTTTCTCGGGCTTGCCATACTGGCGCGGTGATGGACGCAATCATATTTTGGTCTCTTTCAGTCGTCGTGCAGCCGATTCGGAACTGTTGAGTCATGTGAACACAGGCCGTGCTATCCTTGTTCAGAATACATTTGCTCTGAGTTCATTTCGCCAAGATTTCAATATTTTGGCGCCGCCGTTTATCAAGGCCTGGTCGAGCAGCAGCAGTTGGAAAGACATGACACTGATGTCACCAATCCAACGTAAATATCTTCTTAGTTTTGCTGGGGAGCACCCTGATGCTAAATCGGCTTCCCCCACTGTTCAGAAAACCAGAGTTGATATTGAACCTGATTCAGACTATGAAGAAAAAGTTAGCATTAATCATTCAAATTATAATATAAATACTTATATTAATAATAATAATATAAATAATGTTAATAAGAATATTATTAATTATAATAATAATAATAATAATTATATTGGTAAAAATAATGTAAATAATTATATTGGCCAACCAAGCTACCTTACACGTCACCTTAATGGTCTTCTTTCAGAAAAGTCATTAATGCAAAATCTTGACAATATGATTTTAGACATTTTAAAAAATATTCAATCCTTGAAGACTGATCCCTTCTCCTTTGACTTTTCCTGCAAAACTTCAGTCATGGAGAAGCTTGCCATTTCAGGTGAATGGTCATACTGTGAGAGTGAGAACTTTCGCCGGGAAATGGTGAAACAGTCCACATTCACATTGATCATTGCCTCAACAAATACATCATTCATATCAACGCCCCTGCTACATATCAGACTGCTCGAAGCATTAAGGTTTGGGTCCATTCCAGTCATTTTGGGCAACTATGTTCGTCTACCTTTTGCGGAGCTGCTGGACTGGCGCAAAGCAGCAATCATTCTCCCAAAACCGAGAATAACAGAACTTCACTTTCTTCTGCGGACTTACACAGACACCTCTATAGCAGAGATGCGTCGTCAAGGACGTTTTCTCTGGGAGACTTACTTTATCACATTGGACCGTGTAGTAGCTACAATTCTGGCCACAGTGCGGACAAGACTTCAAATTCCAGCAGCCTCTGCCCCTCAGGCACCTTCACCAAGTTTCCCTAATGTGACTCTTGTACAAATGAAGTTGGAAACTCAGGATATTGAGCCAGAGACGGACGATGTCCTTGGACCAATAGAACCTCCATTTCCATCAGAATCATTTAGTCATAATTTTTCACAAATTCGGATATATGAAACATTTAATCAGCATGGAGATCCTTTTCATTGTTTTGCTTCAACACCATATGAACCTGTCCTCCCATCAGAAGCAAAATTCTTTGGTGAGTACTTTCAGTTGATTGTCTTTTAATTACATATTTGATGGTATGTAAAACTACCATTTTACTTTTAATGTTTTGTATTGTGGAATTAGTCTGAGTACAAATATTGGTAGTTTGTCAGATATTTCAACTATATGTATGATGTTTTTTTATTTATTTTTTTTTTGTTAAAGCTATTTGGTTGATGGGGATCATGTTCCATCAAATCCAGCAGTCATAGGTGCCTGATAAAAAAGGAGGGAAAATTTTTTTTTTTTTTTTTTTTTTTTTTTTTGATGCCTTCCACAAGCTTATTAAAACCACTCTATTTATTAATTTCATACTTTTTGACACTTTAAAAGATTTTCTGACCTACCCACTTTTATTAATACCCCCCCTCCATTGTATATTGAAGAAAATTCTGAACCTCCCTCTATATTAGGGTTTATTGCCACATGTTGAAGCATTGGTTCCTGTATGATAACCAAAGTTAAGCAACATTGAACATGGCTAATACCTAGATGGGTGACCACTTGGGAATACCTGATACTATAAGATTGCATGTGCGGGTGGTGTAATGCATAATGGCTCAGAATTGTTAATTGGAGATCTGAGTTCAAATTCCAGTTGGGTTCATTGCAAATATGTGCAAATACCCATGGGGAAGGTATGAATACAGCTCTTCTCCCCTCAGCTATTGGTTTAATTAGAAAAACTTTTATCACCAAAACCATTATCTCCAAAAAAATAAACAAATAATATTATGTACAAAATATTTAGCTTTCAGCATTAAGTAACACATGAAGGTGTTGATATGCCACTAAACAAAAACTACCAACCAACCCACCAATATCAGGCACCTAAGGGTAATACCTTTTCTCTGGTGACTAGATGTACACTGGCTACTTACTTCACAGTGTATATACAATGGTCAAATGCAAAAATAAATAACAGAACTGTCCAACAAACAGAATTGACAAATTTTTCAATAAAAAGAAAAAGGAACAGGGTAAAAATGAAATAATATCAAGCAAGTAAACAATATATGCAAGACAAATTCACAGGTAAAAAGACAAAAAGTTCACAAACTAATAATTGGTGCTGATACACAAAAGCAAGTTTGGATAAGTGAATGTAGTGTTCTATCTTCTTGAAAAGGCAGATCTGGATTGAGTCATGTCAAACTGCAAACTGGCCTATTTTTATTGGCTAAGAAAAATATCCCAGCATGCATTTGTGTGATTTTTGCCTCCTAAAAGGGAAGGAGCAAGTGTTCTGCAGCCATTTCTAGAGAGTGAAATCCCCCTCCTAATCTAATGGATGAGTACACTCATAATTACGTCACCTTAAACCCCCTCTTTCTAAGGGGGGGGAGGGATAAATACCGACAAGATACATGCAAACATTTAGATATATATAATTTATATAGAATTTGAATACATAACAGAAATTTTTTTGTTTGAATATTTCAAAATTTTTTAATATTTTTTTTATTCATTTTCATTTTTTTAAAAACTTTTGAATATCACTTTTTATATAATTGTTTTTCTTTTTTGTATACAAGGGGGGGGGGTAATAAAAAATGAGGTATTAAATTAAAAAAAATGTGATAATTAAGATGCCAAAAGAAAAAATGTTCAGTATAGTGCTCTATTTAGCGCATTAAAGAATTTTTCATTTTTTTTTTTCTGCCAGTAGGTTTAGTAAACAAATCAGCAACATTTTCTTTAATTGGAATATAGTCAAATTTTATTGTACCATTTTGAATTTCAGTCCTTATGAAGTGGTACTTTTTATGTCCACATGTTTTGACTGTTGATGGTAGACCAGGTTCTTAGCCAGAGCTATGGTACCTTGATTATCACAATAGATTGTTGCTTGCTCTTTTTTAGTTGCATTAATTATGGTGGCTAATAATTGAATAAGGAATTTTGCTTCTTGTATTGTAGCCACCAATGCCATGCATTCAGCTTCACATGTTGACAAAAGTACTGTAGGTTGCTTTCTCATTTTCCACTGAACTGTTTGGTGATAATTGGAAACTGTATCCTGTAATATAACAGTGGTCTTTTGAATTTCCCAATCAGCATCACAAAAACCTCTTAAAGTTAGGGGCTTATTTGATTTATTAAACACTAAACTGTGTTTTTTGTGCCTTTCAAATAGCATAAGACTTGATTGGCTCTTATCAATTGATCCATGGTGGATTTGTGGAATATTGCAACATTACTTCTATCTAGATGAGTGGCAGTCATAATGTATATCAGGCTGCCAAATATCTCTTGGTAATATTTTCTGTCTGCTGGTACAGCATTGCTTTCATCCATTAGATCTATATCCATTTCACGAGGCAGTGATCAAGGTTTATAATCTTGTATTCTAAATTTGATTAGGTTTTCAATATATTTTGTTTGATCCATCTCAATAGAATTATTTTTAAATGAAAATTGTATATCCAGAAAGAAAGCTTTCCAAGATCAGTCATTTTCAATTGTTCATTTAAATGTGTTTTTACATTAATTAATGCAGAATTGCAATTTGCAGCAATGAGTATATCATCATAATCAGTATTGTGTTTGAAGTGTCTTTTGTGTAAATACAAGAGTCTGCCAAGGATCAAGAGAAACTTTGACCAATTAAATATGTGTGTAGGACTTTATTCCAATTTCATCCGCTTTAAGTCCTTATAAGGATTTCTTTAATCACCATACAAGTTTGTTTTGTTGGTAATGGAGTAACCCATGGGTTGTTGAACATGTACTTCAGTCGATCGATGCATTTAAATATGCTTTTTTTACATCTATTTGATGGACAAATAAATTATGTTGAATAGCTAATTGCATTAAAGTTCTTACCAATGATAAACATGCTGTGGAGGAGAAGGTTTTATGATAATCTATTCCAGGTTTTTGCGAGTAGCTTTTTGCAATAAATCTCACTTTGAACTGTTCATTACTAGTGTTATTAGTTTTAATAATGTAGACTCACCGACTGCTTACAACAAGTGGAAGTACTGTCAATTCATATGTATTGTTTGCTTTTAGGGCAGTTATCTCTTTTTGCATGGCATCTCAACATTTTATAGTCATTTGAAGGAATAGCTTCATTATAATTAGTGTGTAAATTCTTTACTGAGCAACAGTAATCTATAGTCGTATTTACTACATCGTCTAAATTCTTAACATAATCTTTTAGATATTCGGGCATTTTTCGTAACCTGCTTGGATATAATCTGTCTTGTATTTCTGCACTAGGATTATCTCCTGTATTATCGCTTGGATTTGTTGATTGTGCAGTTTCGCTTTCTTGTGTCCCCTTCCCACAAGGATCTTTTGCCAGATAGTTTGGAATTATTGTATAATTTTCTTCAGCCAGAAGTAAAGAATCCTCAGATGTAGGATTTTCAAAGTTTTCAGTAAATTTTACACACCCAACTCTTTGATATTCTTAGTTTCAGGTATGTTAAATAGGCAGGACTTGATTTATCATAGCCTATGAAAATAGCTTTTTCATCTTTCATGTCCAATTTCTTTCTATCTTGTATGTACACATAACAAATTTTGTCAAATGTATGCATATTGATGAGGTTAAGTTTGTGACCTGTGAAGATTTCAAAGGCAGTTTTTTTTAGTTCTTTGACTGTAACACCAATTTCTAATATATGTCGCAGTCATAATAGCATATTGACCACAAAAAACTTTGGTAGCTTTGATTCTATTAATAGACATCTGCACATTTTGAATAGAGATCACAAAGATTGTTTTGCAGTACCATATTGATGTGCAGAGTAAGAAGCCAATTTCTCATATTTAATTTGATTATTAATTAAAAGTTTCAAAGTTTTCAGAAGTGAATTTTGTCCCATCAACACTTCTGGGGCATTTTATAGAGCCATATGGAGCAATGTCAGCCAAATATTTCTTTTTGGCAAGAAACATATCACTTTTTTGACTCGGAAAGTAAACCATAATTAGACCAGACTAAGTGTCCATGAAACAAAGTGTATATTTGAAACCATTCTATCAGGCCAGCTAGATCACAATCAACAAGGTCTAATATTTTAGTTGCCTCTTTTATTGGGTAACTTGTTCTTATACTGTATCACTTTGCCTTGGATACATATTTCACAGTTTAAATTTGATTTATTGACAATTTTCATACCTTCCACAACTTCTTGTAGCTGTATAATGTCTTTCAGATTGCAACATCCAAGAATTTGATGCCATTGTTTTTGGCTATGCATAGCAGTTTTGGCAATTACTGCAATATTTAAATAGTATAGGTGTCTATTTCTTTTTATGTTGAATTTCACACCATTAGGGAAGTTCTGAGTAATTACAGCCAAATTTTACGGAAGCCCCTTTTTTCAGTAGTGGCTTGTACAGAGAATATACTTTGTTTGACTGTAGAGATATATAGAGCATCCGTTAAAATGCAATAAGCATTTCCTTCCATGTCCATTATAGTTACTTGAGCATTGCTTATTTTTAAAGCAATATTACTGGTTTGATTACTATCTGCAGGTTCAGTAGTATTTTTTTTTTTTTTTTTTTTTTTTGATTAAAATCATTATCAAAAGTAAGAAATTTAGATTCCCCAGTAACCACATACGTGATAGCACCACAGTCGACAATTAAACTGTTTTTATTGGAAATGGTATCTAGTCCAATTGGAAAGAGAAATTTTTACAAAATGAGATTTTCTTTTTGTTTCTGCACTTGATACTTTTATGTCCAGGTTTGCAACAAGCGTGGCAGATAATATTTTTGTTTGTTAGATTGGAATTATAGTGTTTTGAGGGGAAATTATTTACTATGTAATTCTGAAATTTACTTTGGCAATTGGGGCTTTTATGTCTAAGTTTACCACAAAGAAAACAGGTAGAAACATTAGTTTGTGGCTTAGATCTTAGCATTCGGAGAATTATGATGGTATAACATGGTTTCAACTTTTTTCCCTTCCTACCTCAAAATGGCAAAGTGAGTTACTATTGGTAAAGTGTTTTGCAAATACCTTTGTGA